TGTATATGTACATATGTATATGTATATCTATATGTATATATAGAGATACATAGATAGGTAGACAGATAGATAGATAGAAAGATAGATAGAAATATAGATAGACAAACACGTATACTTATAAACATGGGTATCTCTATCTATCGTTCATTATCTATTTGACTATTTCGTTCGTTTGTTGGTTCTTTATTTTAGTATGTCGTGGTGTATATATGTTGATATATATTTCTATCTTTATGTCTTTCTTTCTTATGTAACTTTGTAGTGATATATATATATATAAACATACATATAACATCCATAAACGTTCATACATACACGGGACAATTGAAACAAACAACAAAACAGACCGCAATCGCCATCCCTGGCCACATAGGCTTTGATTTGAGACTAAATGAGGGACCCGCAGCCCTCATGACTTTCCTCCAGCATGGATATGCACTGCTCCTAGCTGAGTCACTTTGGACTCAGACATGTAGCCGGACTCGCATGTGTCACTCGCCGGCAGTGGCAGCCTGTGCTCTGTTGACTTCAGATTTACGGTAGAGCAGGTTCTTCCGAACTCTCAAACCCTATAAACTCTAAACCCTAAACCGCTGAAACAGCCAGAGAGAAGAGCAATCAGCGAGAGTAGCAGTAGCAGCAGCCGGAGTAGGAGCGGGAGCAGGGGCAGGGGCACGGGCAGCGCCCTTGGAAGAGCTAGTAGTAGTAGTTTTAGTAGTAGTAGTAGTAGTAGTAGTAGTAGAGGAAGAAGGAGTACGTAGTAACAACAGTAGCAGCGGGAGTAGTAGTAGGCGCCCCCCCCCCCCCCACCCCCCCTCCCCGCCTCTCAACCATCTTGGCGGGGTGGGGGGGTGGGGGATTGGGGGGGAGGATAATGACAAACATGGCAGCCTCAGAAAGCTCTTTTGCCGCCATTTTAGCTCGAGTCAGCCCTGGCCAAGAAGAAATGGACGCCCGTGCAATGATGATGATGATGATGATTGTTCTTTGCGAATTCTAACGTTTCTGTGGCTTGGAGAGTTCATCTTTCCTGCGTACAGTTCATAAATAAATGTTTCGCCGCTCCT